TCGAGTCATTCGGCCTCGAGAACAAAAAGGTTGCCAAGGAGTTTGGAAAGAAGTTTGCTACTGGCTCGTCCGTCACCAAGACCCCAAGCGGCAGCGAGGAGATTGTCGTTCAAGGAGACGTCAGCGACGAGATTGAGGAGTTTTTGTTGGAAAAGTATAAGGAGATACCCGAGGATAACATTGAGTTGGTCGAGGACAAGAAGAAAAAGGCTGCCCCAACAGCTTGAGCCTGGAAAGGCGTAATCCATCAATTGAGTATGCCTGGCCGTCATCATGTTTCTGTCATTATTCCCAATACGCCATGTAAATCCAAACCATAGTGATTATGCCCAAGTACGCCCAGCACACGCCCCGCCATGAAAGTGGCGGTATAAAGACAATGAATGGTTGATCCTGTGAATCCTCGCAGACCTAACCCCTTTTCCGCAGTACTCTGGTGGTACTCGCCGCAGATGCCGGAGCCGACTTGGGCGCTGCGGGCTTCCTGGCAGTTGCTGCGCCAACCCCCTTTCTAATTGTGCCCATGACGGTTCTCTTCGCGGGTGCTCCTGCTGCTGTCTTCTTGACAACTGTTCCGGTGCTGCCCTCACTCGAGTCGCTGACTCGCTTGCCCGTCCGCGTTCCAGGCCGTGACGGAGCTTTAGCTGCCGTGGTTGTGTTGGCTCGTCGCGTTCGTGTTGGAGGCGCCGTTCCTGTAGCAGGTGCAGGCGCTGATGCGTTCGAGCTGGCCGTTGACGCATTTAAAGGACGCGAAGGAGCTGTGCGACTAGTCTTCTTCGCCTTCTCCACCATACTCGACAGGGCTGATCGGGCGCTGTTATGTTGCTTAACGGGAGACGATGTCGGTCGCGCAATCTGGGAGGATTTTGACGGCGAGGAAGGCGGTCGTTCGCGTGCCAGCGATCGGGTGTTGGATGAGGTGGGCGACAGGACTTGCGACGAACTCAATGGGGCTGGGGCAGCACGGTGCTTCTTCTTGGGGTTGAGAATTTGCTCGTTCTCCTTGTCTCCGCCCGCGATAGTATCACTACAATATTATGTTAGTAAGGCAAAATGCTATGATTTTATATGTAAACAAACCTCAATCGCTTGGCAGGGCGGGCTGGCGGTGCCAGCTTGTGCGGGCCCCCCCGTGGTGGAAAGTCCTTCTCGGGAACAGGTGGCGGGCGCGAAGCGGCCTCAAGACGTTTCTGTTGCTCGACGGCTCTAGCTACCAGGTCGGCCATAGTCATCTTCAGCATGGCTCTGGGGACACGATTGACGCGCATCTGGATCCGTGATCGAAGGGTTTGTGCCTGCTGGTTGTATTGCGCTCGCAGTCGCCTCGCGCGATCGGTGACTGTGGAATGATTAGAAAACGCGGTCAAACGTACGAAGGATTTACTGACTCTCCAACTGCAGGTTATCGATAATTGCCTGTTTTTGCTCCAGGGAGATTCCAAGTCTTTGCCGCTTGCCCGGGCTGCTGCTTAGCATGGGAGGCGTGCCAGCCTTCGCCGATACCATTTGTCTCTGTGACATCGTGGACTGCTGCTCCATCTCATCTGAGCTTCTCTTATTCGTTCGCGCGGGAGGCATGTCGTCTGCTGAAGATTGCGAGTCGTTGTGGGTAAAAGTGTTTGGCGCTGGAGCAACGTGCCTGATCGCGACAGGAGCGTGAAAGTTGATGGAGCTAAAGGATGATGGGGCGGAGGCTCTATTATGAGTGGCTATTGTTCTAGGAAGTAAACAAACGTGACAGCGGGTAAGACCCTTACCTAAGCCAATGGAAGCTTGCCCAATCCCGGCCATTCATGGATCTCCAAAGGCCCCACCTAATATCGGCAGCCATAACCCTGTGTATTTCATCGGGCCAGGTGAAATCCGGATCCGTATAATCTGGTGCGGTCCTAGGTATCACCCACCGTGTCTACCTAGCTTATTTCCTGAAATCAGCACATGTCATCGGAACATTGCAGATACGGACTGCTGTATATTTATTGCTAGCAATCGGTATGGCGAGGTTCGTAGGAGTACAGAGTAGATAGGACCCGGACTGGAACATCGTGGCCCTGTGCTACCTAGTTACTACCTAAGGTCCCGTGGGAACGAAAGTTATGTGTGAAGTAGATACACTCGGATCTAACACAGCTATGCTCATATTTACACAGTGTGGCTTCCTGATGCGGACATTTGTCAAGGCGTCTGGCTCGGAGTCTAGATACTTGCAAGCAGGCAGCGACTACCCGGTCTTTCAGGTACCTCTACTCATACCTCACGCAACCAGCGTCACCAGGCTGAACTGCCTTACGCAGGAGCTCTCCCACCCTACCTACTTACCTTAACCCACGTCGAACACCAAGCTTCCCTTTCCCGTCCGAAGCTCGCACGATCAAACACCGCTCAACACTGCCATCCTCGAACGGTGAAGCAATTCCGACTCATCGACGACATCGGAAAACATACTGACTCTAAAAATCTCACACAACATCCTCCCCCACGCAATACACGTCGGCGCCCCGCCCGAACCGTCAAGATGGTCCTTGAAGCGGTGATGGTCGTTGTCGACAACAGCGAAAGCAGTCGCAACGGCGACTACCAACCCACAAGATACGACTCCCAAGCCGACGCTGTCAACGTTATTTTCCAGACCATCACAAATGGAAACCCCGAGTCCTCGGTCGGCTTGATGAGCATGGGTGGCAAGGGCCCCGAGGTGTTGGTCACCCTCACGACAGATCAGGGCAAGATCCTGGACGGATTGCACCGCACGAAGACTAAGATCAAGGGAACATCACACCTTGCCACTGGCATTCAAGTTGCCGGCGTTAGTATAGCCGTTGTCACCTTTGCCATGGAATCTCTTGCTAATGCGTCACTCAGCTTGCCCTCAAGCACCGTCAGAACAAGTCCCAACGACAACGGATAATCGTCTTCGTCTGCTCGCCCATCGAGGAGGAAGAGAAGAAGTTAGTTCAGCTGGCTAAGAAGATGAAGAAGGGCAACGTTTCGGTTGATTTCGTACTGTTCGGCGACCTGGACGACGACGACACGCAGAAGAAGCTGCAAGCGTTCAACGAGAGCGTCAAGGGTGGTGAGGGCTCCAACCTCGTCGTCATCCCTCCAAGCAGCAAGCTTCTCAGCGATCAGCTCATTTCGAGCCCGATCCTTCTCGGAGACAATGCTGGCGGAAGCGGCGGTGGCGGCGGTGGTGGCAGCGGCATGGAGAGTGGCGGCGGTGGCGGCAACTTTGGCGAGTTCGACTTCGACCCTGCTATGGACCCGGAGCTGGCACTTGCGCTTCGCATGAGTATGGAGGATGAGAAGGCACGGCAGGAGAAGAAGGCGCGCGAGGAGGCCGAGTCCGGTCAGAAGGGATCTCTTGAGGACATCAAGGAGGAGAGTGAGGGTGCGCCTCTCCTCGGCAAGGATGGCGAGTCAAGCAGCAAGAAAGACAAGAAGGATGATGACTCTATGGACACTTCGTAAACAGATGTTTCCGAATTGTCTCTAACTCGTTCTTCGCCTGATCACTACCTCGAGTATGTAAAATAGAATATTGGCTTGGTCCTAGAGGAACATGCTGCTCAATAGAAGGGCCTCTGACTCCTGCAAACGCCGTATCGCAATGAGCGTTACCCAACCCAAACGAAATCAGAACCCCATGAATCATCCTCTCCGTCGCTGTGTCTATCATCCGTGGCGACGTTGCTCTGAACCTATCGATTGTTGATCTCCCGGATGTATGATAATAATTTCCGTTCAAACATCTCGCAGCGGATCGGCATTTCGAGCTGATAAAACGGGTTCTTCATAACGTAATCGCTGTAAAGGTCGTATATCCTCCGAAGCGTCACGTCGATGTTGGTCTGAGTTGTATCGGTGAAGAGCAGGAACTTTGTGCCCGTCATGGTGTTGAAGCACTGCAGCCTAAAGTTCTCCGTCTCCATGACCTCTAGTCCTGTTGGCGGCTCAGGCCGTGCTGGTATTCCGCCCGCCGCGGTCACGCTGGCTGCGGTTGCTGCGGCTGCAGCATCTTGCCGGCTCATCAGAGGGTTGAGACGGGCGGTGATGGCATGGACGCTTTTGAACGTTGCGTAAGCATTTTCCTCTCGCTATAGACGGTGAAGGGTATCTGCGTTCTCACCCGTGGAACGTTCCTGCCAACACAAGATAGTCATTTGTCGTCAGTTGATTGAGACCGCCCTCGTGAAATGTGCGGTTGTAGATCAAGCCTCCGGCCTTGTTGATCACGATGAGCGCAAATACAGTCCTATTGCCGAGGTCAGTGAATGGCCTTCCTCGCTTGGTGCCAGAAGGTGCTCACATGGTTTCAGTAGTCGAACCAGCTCAAAGCTGATGACTTTTTGGAAGGGAAATATGGTAATGATCTGAGATTATTCTCATCGATGCGATATCTGAAGCATGCACTCATACAGTTGCTCTCGATATCCCCATCTGGCCTCAGGTTAGCTTAGGAGATGTGGGTGATGGAGCTGGTATTTCGTACCGGTCCTCTTACCAGCCAGCCCAGCCCAGCCCAGACAGGTACCTTCTGCACACCTCACCCTTTCCGCGCACACGAGTCCCCAGTCGCTAAATCCACACCAAGCTCCCTGGACAAACGCCCCCCGCGCCCCTTCTGGTGCCTGCGCTAGCCCCAAAGACACTGGAGGGCGCGCTCAGTGGGACACATCCTCTTCTTTTTCCCCGACCTGGATCTTCCTGCCCTGGGCGACAAGGCAAGCACCAGGGGTGGCATTCCCAAGACATAGCACCCGCCTTTGGGAAATTCTCAGCCTCATCTACAACCCACCTTCTTCTCACCTCCAGCTTCCGCCGACAACGGCTGCTCATACCACACCCCCCGCGATTCCATTCGTCTCGTCCAAAATCCCCGCAATCAACGCGACGCCAGCTCCTTCGCCAAAAGGTCGATCCTCTGATTCCTAAATAGCGCCAACTTTTAAGTGTTTTCCAATCCTCGCATCAACGACCACGAGTCGCAAATAATCAAAAAGATGTCGCATCACGCTCCCACCTCGCGCCCAAAGCCTCCTCCCCCGGGCAGCGAAGAGGCATCGTCCATCCTCAACCTCGGCGAATTTCAACACGTCGACACGCTCACATTGTCCGAAGCATCACTCGTCATCAACGCGCTCGTGACCAAGCGCAAGATGGATCGCAAGAACATTAACGAGACCGAGTACGTCCAATTCACAATGGCGGCTTGCTCTTTGAGCGATGCCCTTCGTCGCCACTTTTCTTTATGCTTTTCCTAGGCAGCTGACAATATCGCTTTTCTCTCTGTCTTTATAGGATGTTGACACAGACTCTCAACTACCTGGACGCCTTCTCCCGATTCCGCCAGAAAGAGAATGTCGAGGCCGTCGAACGATTGCTCTCTGCACACAAGCAGCTCGCCAAGTTTGAGCGTGCACAAATAGGTTTGCACCCAACCCAATCCAACGGACTGCTTACCGGATTAGAAGTGATAGAAATGCTAACTCTACTTGCCCCTTTAGGGTCGCTTTGCTGCGAAACGGCCGAAGAAGCCAAGACACTCATTCCGTCCCTACAAGACAAAATCTCCGATGATGACCTCCAAATACTCCTCGACGAGATCAGCAAGCTTCAAAGCAGATGACGGGCTTGACCTCCGACATATTACACCACAACCTGGCGGGGGCAGAGACGGAGAGTTGGGGTGTCAGGAGCTGGGCATTCCCAATAAAGTCACCCTTGCTCCATCACTCATAGCACTGTCCCGGGGTTGGAAAAACGAGGAAGTCAGCATGGCCAATGGCTATAGGGCAAGGGGAGAGAAAATTGAATGGCTATGGAAGTGCTTCTGCGTAAGAAGCATAAACTGCATGTTTGGCGTAAATCGGAAGGGGATCAGATTGTCTTTAAGTATGTGTTGAATACCAAATACCCATGAATTCGGCAGGCAGGGTTCATATTCGTACTCCTAAAACGATGCAATGATCTTCAAAGGTAGTTGTTCGTGGCGTTCACTGATCACTAACGGACATGAGGTAGGCACTGGTCAAAGTAGCAAGGTGAGTTGAATTCTTCATTTTCTTCATTGAGGGGAGTAGAGATAACTATTAATAGGCCTAGCTATGGTTGACCTTTTGATCTCAATCTCCAATTCCAATTCCATTTGTTGCATTTCCATTTGAACCATCCCAATTGTGCGTTGAATTTACTCTGACAAGAACCAGCAAGATCAGGCAACCGCGTATCCGAAAAGCAAGCCTGGGTATCGTCAACGCCTGACAGAAGCCGAAAACCGAAATCATTTCCTTTCCTCAGAACCAGAACCAGAACCAAACCTCAAGATCTCAAGCAGTATCGGCCGACTTGCTCTTAGGCAGCAGGATCCCACTTTGACCAACTAGTCACGTATCTACCCTCAGAACGCTCATGTTCCGTGGCGTTCAGGGTACCGGTGAGGTAGCTGGGAGTGGTCTCCGCCACTGGGTAGAGTGAGCCGCCGTCGGGGCGGTACGGCTTGTACTTCTGCAGGCCGCTACGACTGCTGTGGATCTCGACAACCTTTGGCAGACCAGGAGACGCCAGCTCAGCGATAGCTGCTTGCTGAGGGGGGCCATGGAGCTCAGGGGTGGCAGTGCCCAGCCGAGACATGTAGTCTGGAGTCGTCATGCGGGACGTGAAGTCGGGAGTGGAATTGGCCGTGCGATATCCCACGTCGGGAGTTGTCGTTGCGGTACGAGACAAGAAGTCAGGGCTGGCTGTAGTAGCTCTGAATGTGCCAGGTGACATCGCAGGAGAAGGAATCGGCGGCGGCGGCATCCGCATAGACATCGGATCGCGGGTATCGGGACTAACTGGGTGATTCATCATCCGACTGGCACTCGTGTCATTGATTCGGTTGAAGCGAGTTTGAGGCTCTTCGTAGCGTCCTGGTGGGTTGTTGGCTTCTGTTGCCTTAGACGACAGTGGACAGTAGGAAACAACTTACTTCCATAGGGGCAAAAGACCTCCTCAGGACAGAACGGATTGGTAGTCATGGCCGGCTGGCTGGTCTCGTCCTCTGAACTGTGCTTGCGTCCGTCTTTGCTTATGGAGCTGATGGACTCTCGAGAAGCTCTGAGCTTCTTTCTCTGCTTGGTGCACAGAAAGTAAGCGGCGATGACCATACAAATCACCACCAAAGCAGAGACAGCTATGCCAGCCTGCGCAGCGACCGGGAGGTCATGTTGATCAGACTTGACCGCCAGGGCAGGAGCCGAAGCGTCGATGGCCTGGGTCTCGACAGGGACCGTTGGGTTGTAAGTGTGGGGAGAAACGAAGAACGGAGTTCCAGTGGAATCATCCGAGGCGATGGTAGAAGCTGGAGAACCACGATCGTCAGTGAGCCAAATACCTCCGGTTGCGGTCAGCTCGGGCGTGCTGAAGGTGGTAGTCGGATTATCAGATGAGGTTGAAGCCTGGACCTTCTTGTCAGTGGTAGTGGAGGACGCCTTCGACGAGGATGAAGTAGGAGAGACCAAGACCGGCGCGGCGACAGATGCGATGGTCTTCTGGGCCTGAAGCTCCGTCGCAGTCAAGTAAGGGTTGTACTCGTCTGGACATCTGGTAGTCTCACAAGGGTTCACCTCGCAGCAACCCTCGAAGCCGGAGCAGGTGTAGTGGTATGAACCGATCGGGCACACCTTCGCCTCTCGCGCGGGAATGAAGCCGTCCATGATGGCGGTTGATGATTTTCCTTCTCGAACGGATCAACCGGTGTGGTGATAAGCAAAGGGAAATTTTGACACAGTCAATGGATCGATGGCTTGTGTGCCACCATCGAATCAGTAGCTGCGATGACGATGGCGATGGTAATGGCGAAGGATGAGGCAAAATGGAGGTGTAATAAATGAGCGACGATGAGAAACTTTGGAGTGGGTAACAAGACGGAATTCCTCCAAAGTGAATCAGCGAAGAAGACAAAAGTCGCACTGCCAACTCAGTAGTGATAGGTAGACAGGCTGAAGTAATTTTTCCGAGGCAAGGTGGAGGACGGGAAGGAGCTTTCGACGGGTGGTGGGTGGTTGGCGGTCTGTCACTTGGGACGGAAGGAAGGAAGGGGCGGTTGTGTGACTGGCCTCACCTCGTGCCTGCCTTACCTTGCCTACCTACCATGAGGTAGCTACCTACCTACCTGCAACGTACCTTCCTCTTTTATCACACTGACCTACATGCTCGGGTGATCCGGTGAATGTTGACCACTTCCATGCCGTGCTTGAAGGCATTCAAATTCGGACTGACGATCCCGCCAAGGCAGCACTACAGCCCCCGAATTGCACTTACACGGCAATCTAAAGGTGACCACGCCTCAGACAGAGACGTTCGACGAACGCCATCTTGTACCATCTTGTACTACAGAACGATTCTGGCCCGTGATTCTTTCATGGCCCTGCCCGCCGCGTTCGGGGGACGACTGCGGTGGTGTTTGCTCGCGGATGAGTGCTTCAATAGGTAGGGGTTGAATGTCGCCCCTTACGAAAAGACGCAAGGGCCAGAATCACCAGACGACGGAAACGGAACAGCAACGTCGCACAAGCCCAAATGCCAAATGCATCAGACCCGTTGCTTCTGCCACCGCGTCACGGACCGAGACAGTGGCCGACATAAACGGGTGGCCCCTAGCCGACGGGAAAGGCTCAGATGCGCGGCTAGATCTCAATCACGGACGGTTGCGATGACGAAAAAAGGCCACGACCTCGATGGACGGGCAACGCCCAAAAGCTTTGAATCAGAAACCAACCAAACCAAACTCCATCTATTAATGCCACCACCCCAGCTAAACCTATTGCACGCCATCGACACACCAGGTAGTCAGACTGCCACGCCTGTGTGGGTATTTCAAAACATTGGGAAGAACTTTTTGCTCGCCAGTCCGGTTACGTTTTATACGATATCGCTTACAACTTCTCCAACAGAAGCTTGCTGCCAAGGTTGCCCACGGGCTTGTCTGCCTTCTTTGCACCCTTCTTGCCCTTCTTTGCGCCCTTCTCGCTCTTCTCGCTATCCTTCTGGGCCCTGGCCTCCTTGGCCTCCTTCTGCTCGGCCGTCTCTTCAGTGGCGGCCTTCTGCAGGTCTTTCTTGTGCTTCTTGAGCGTCTTCTTCAGCTCAGCAGCGTGGCTAAAGTCCTCTGCTTCCAGCATGTTGAGAACGACAAAGGAACTCGGGCCCGTGGCCCAGTCCACAATGTAGTCATTGATGACCGGGTACAGAATATCGGCGAACTTCAATGGTGGCTCGACGGGCTCGACCTTGCCGGTCTCCTTGTTGAACTTGCCTCCAGCAATAAGCGTCTTGATCAACCGACCTCCAAATGCTGTCCGCGAGACATGGATAGGGGTAGGGACACCTTCCACCTCCATGGGCTCCGCGCTAGGGTCGCCCTCAGCGACCGCTGCTACGGCCTCAAGAGCTGCCGTCTTGTCACCCTCCGCAGAAAGCAGAACGTCCGCAACCAGCTGGCAACCGAATGGGTCTGCGACCAAAACCGGTGCAGCCTCGACGACGGCTGTGATGAGCGCAGGCGACATAACAGCAATCAACTCCTTCCGTCTTATCTCGGCGTCCTTCTTACTGGTGGTCTGGCGAATTGCATGAACCTCCTTGAGAATCGTAAGGTCGTCGCTCATGTTGTCAGGGAAAAGAGCGCGGGTCTGGCCCTCCAACAGATACAGAAGCGTGGCCTTCGCGAAGGGATTTGATGTAGAAACAACGATATTGTCTGTCGCCTTCTCCTTGTCGTCGCCAATCAGCTCAGGGAAGATGGCCTTTGATGACATCTTCGTGTCGTCAATGACGTCGAAAGCGGCGAGGATCACAATGTGAGCATTAGGGTCACCCGACATCAGCACGAAGTTGTCCTTGTATGCCTTGAGCAAGTTTCTGCGGTCCTTGGAGGAACCGTGGGCCAGAAGCAGAGACACCAAACGAGATCCAGAACGGGTAAAGGCCATGTTCTTCAGCAAATCACCCTCCTCGTCGTCCTTGATCATCTCAACAAACAGGTTGAAGTTCTCCGTGCCGGGCTCGACATTGAGGAAGTACTGCAGCATGGCGTCGTGAAGCATCGTAAAACCGGTCATCTTCTTCTGGACCAGCGAGTTGATCATGTCGTTGAGACTCTTGAGGATGTAGGCCTTTTTGCTGGGGTTCTGCTCGAGGATGGTCGCCAAGTCGGAAGTCGGCTTCTCGTCCTTGCTGCGCTCCAGGAGGGCGAATTCGGGTCCGTACCATTCTCTCAGAAGGATGGCCTTCTGCTCCTTCGTCGCGATTTGTCTGTAGATGTCGTCCAAGATCCATGAAGCCTCGGGGTGGTTGATCAACTTCCGCACCTTGCCGTAAAACTCGGGGATAATGAGATCCTTGATTTCACCGTCGGCTTGCACCACCATCTTAGCGATGAGGAACTTGGCATATCGACTCTCGGCGAGCTGGGTGTAGGTGCCCTGCAGCTCGCGGGTAATCTGTTTCCGTTGGGTAGCCGTGGCGTACTTGAGGGCGGTCTGGACAGCGCGCGTGGCGTCGTGCTTGAGAACGAATTCCTTGACGCGGCCGGTGATGATGGTGAAGAGTTCATCGACAAGCTGCTTCCGCTCCTCGGACGGAACGTGGGACTTCCTCCGCAACCTCTCCCAGATCTTCTTGGTTCGAGCGAGCTCGTCGGCGAGGGGTTTGGCCATCTTGCGCTCCAGGGCAAGCTTCTTCTGAATAGCGTGGGACTCTCTCGAGTTTTGGCCTGTTGCAAATATCACAGTCAGCACAGTTGCAGGCTTGCGCCGGTCAGGCAATGCATCGCCTAGGTTCCTTACCTCTCTCAAAGTTCTTGTTCTTGTCGGCACCATTGGCGCCATCCTTCTTGCCCTTGGCCTGAGCCTGCTGGGCACGATCACGAGGGGTGAGCTGGACGCCGCCGTCGTCAGAGTCCTCGGATTCATCCTCAAAACTTCCCTCCTCATCCTCCTCGGGGGTCTCGACGGGCTGAGCCTTCTTCTTCGACTCGACCTTGGCCTTCTTGTTGAATTTGCCGTCGGCAGCACCCTTACCAGCGGCAGGGGCACTCTTTCTCTTGACGCCGATGGAAGCCATTGTGTGGAATTGGCTGGCTGTTGTGGTTGTGGTGGACAGCCGGAATATCGATCGCAAAGTGTGAACGTTTTCTCGGCGTACAAAGAAAGCAAAGCGACTGGACTGCGCGGGTGGGAACTTGCAGCGGTCGCAATTGCTTAGGGAATTTCTGAAATTTTTATTTGAATTGCCGGGCGGTCAGAACCACGCTAAGCTAGATTCAATTCACCACCCCACCACTGTGCATGTACGTACCTCTCTGCCATCAACGGCCATCCTCAAGCCGCCAGCTGCATCCTCAACAGCGTCTTGTTGTTATAACCCAGCAACCAGCGCATTGCCCCAAGCTCCCAGAACGTTCCTGGAAGATACAAACACTCAAAATGGGGCGCGAGGAACAAGTCGAGGAGCGTGAGGTGCTCGAATCCATCTTCCCAGATGAGATCACCGGTACGATTACCCCACCGTGCCACCTTGAGCCAGCCCATCCACTAAACCCCGGGTCACAGATATCTCAGAGACAGAGTTCAGGATACAAATCGCCCTAGACATCCCCGGCGAAGAGGAGGACCCGCCAACAATGTTCCTCCAGGTCCGATATCCAGACGCATACCCCGACGAGCCACCCACCCTCGACCTGCAATCCGTGCGTGATGCCGCGCCCTACGAGTGGTTCAGCGTCGCGGAGGACAAGGAGCGGCTCCTCCAAGGTCTCGAGGAGACGATCCAGGAAAACCTAGGCATGGCCATGGTCTTCTCCCTCGTTTCGGCTCTGAAGGAGGCCGCGGAGATGCTCGTCGAGGAGCGCAAGCAGGAGAAGGAGAAGGAGAAGGAAGAGCGGGCCGCTGCCGCGGAGCGCGAGGAGAACAAGAAGTTCCACGGAACACCCGTGACGCCCGAGACGTTCCTCAAGTGGCGCGACGATTTCATCAAGGAGATGAAGGAGTTGAAGGAGAAGGAGGAGGAGGAGCGCCTCGCCGAGTTGAAGAAGGCCAAAGTCAAGGAGCCGGTCAAGTTGACGGGCAGGCAGCTGTGGGAGCGTGGTCTCGCTGGCAAGGCTGACTTTGATGACGAGGAAGAAGGAGGGCTGGCGGAGGGTGTCGAGAAGCTCAAGGTTGAGGCGGTATAGCATCCGTCATGAAGGGGGAAACAAATTCAGTGCATTTACTTGGCGGTTTTTTTTTTTTTTTGGGTTTTTTTTTTTTGGAAAGGGGCAATCTAAGAAGAAAATGGTTGCGGTTGTGGCTCTCGAACCTCATCTATATATGCCTCGATGAATGACCCTCTTGCGGAGAAAGAGGGACCTCATGCCTTTTTGACAACTTTTCCCAGTACCAAACTCCAAACTCCCAAATCCCAATCGATGAAGAAAACTTCCCAGTGGTCATAACGTTTATCATCAACGTTGTTGTCTTATTTGAAGTGCCAACCATGCCATGCCGCCATTTACTCTTCCATAGCCTCGCCATCATCACTGCCGGCATCTTCCCAACCATCATCGTACTCCTCATCCTCTGCGCCAGCCGGGGGCTCGCCCAGCTCCTTGTTGATAGAGGCAAACAGTTCCTTGGCGTGCTCGCCCAGCCTCTCGTCCTCGTACTCCTGAGCCTCGTACAGCTTCAGGCAGCGCATCAACCACCGCCGGGCCGTATCCCATGTAACCTTCCAGTCCTCCTCGTCCTCGTGCAGCTGCGCAGCCTCGCTCTTGGCCTTGGCTTTCTCGCCGGCAATGAACAGAGCCCACCCGCCGAGATACCACGCCTCGACGCTCTGGTCGTCGTCGCCGACGAGTCTCTCGAGGACTTCAATCGCCTCCTGCTCCATCTCCACCTCGAGCAGCAGCCGCACCAGGCTGATGCGCGTAGGGAACGCCGGCACGTTGGGGTCCAGCGGCGGCAAGTCGACCCACAGCTCCAGGCTCCTCGTCAGCGCCGCCTTGGCCTCGTCAATCTTCTCCTGCGATATCCGCACGTTGGCCACCGTCTGCCACGTCTCGGCCGAGTCGGGCGCGACCAGGCCGGCCTCGGTGACGAGCGCCTCGCACCTCTGCTCCGCGTCCGCCTCCCACGACAGGTCCGTCATGTACACCTCGGCCACGGCGCACAGCGTCCCGCCCAGCTTCTGCTTCTTCTCCTCGAGCGCCGTCCCCTGCTCGGCGCTGCGCTTCTTGTCGCCAATGTCCACGAGCGCCTGGATCTGACCCCGCAGCGACTGCGCGCCCTTGTCGAACCAGTTGACGCTGTCCTGCCCTCCTTCCTCGCTCAGCTGCGCGAGCCAGAGGAACTTTTCCGGCCCGCCCCCTATGCGCTCGTCGAGGGCGCCCTCCGGGTCCAGCTCGACGGCGCGCAAAAAGTAGGCCCTCGCCTCGTCGACCTCGCCCATCTCGATGCTAATCTGGCCCAGGAGGTTCAACGCCGCCAGCTCATAATCGCCTCCCTCGCCCGTGACATCGAGGGCTTCCTTACCAGCTGAGTAGGCGCTCTCCAAGTCTCCTTCTGTCAATTTTGTGGCGGCTTCGACGAGCTTGTGTGCCGCGTTGGCGGGCTTCTTTTGCGTTCTCTTTTTTGACTTTTTGTTGGGGCGAGTTGGCGCCATTTTGTGATAAGACCCTGTTGTTTGTACGATGAAATATCTGATGGTCCTTGGCCAAAAATTTATGGATTTTTCATGAATTGGACGTGAGGAATCTAATCAAGTGATTTGAGTGAGGAGTGAGCTGCACTCATGAGGCAAGGCAGAGTCGCAATGGTGGGTTGAAACTGGGCCAGTCGAAAAAAATTCTTATCGCATCAATGTGATCTTATCGATAACACCATGACGATGGCGGGGTTATTCGATAGGTAAGGTAGGTACCGAAAACCTGGTACTCACCGATCCTCACCGACTTGCAACCTTACAGTGAGTGGTGAACAAATTAGGTCTATTATTACTTCTTTTCGCAACGATTGTGGTATCATCAGTTATCAGACTGGGATGAACGTCAAATTCGGTGGCTCAGTTAAGTCACTAAAGTTTACGTGGTGTATCTGTAATAGACTACCTCAGTCCGGTGTACCCGAGACCGAGAAGGCCGGCTGTTCCGTACCGTGATAGCTCAACTGAACCCAGCTACATGGTTTACAGGAACTTTGAGAGGACGACTCGGCGGGACTGGGATACTCCGGGCAATGAAAAGAATAGTCATTCATTAAGATGTTGATCTGGGACTGAGCAACCTGGTGGAGGCAGTGTCATAACTAGTTGTAATTCCTGGCCCCGCCATCGTCCATAAAATAACGAGATCCTCGATGATAAGAATGACAGGCCGCCCATCAGATACCAGCCTGGTCCAGTTTTTAAGACGCCGTCGCTAATAAGCACCCAAGGACAATTGTACCAACCGTACTCCGTTCCCGACCATGTCCCGCTTCGCTTGCTCAGAGGAATTAGGTGACCCCTCTTGTAGATTTATACATCGTGTACAATAAGACTCATTAGCCACCTTGAGTTGGCATTAAGTGACTTATTCAAAATAAAATAGAAAAAGGAAAGCGCATTGGTAGAGTGACAGGCTGCGCTACTAACCTCTGCCTCCCGCCGACGAACTCCTGCTGGAAGGCCCTCGTTCGTCGACGAGCTCGGCAGAAGTGCCTAGTAAATCGACATGCTGATCGGAGCCAGGGTCGACTCTGCTGATGCTGTGTTGCGCGACTACCCCATAGCTAGTTGGCCGCTCGGTGCTTGGCGTCCTACGGATGTTGAACTCTTCTAGGGATGAGCCGTTGGAAGAGAGTCGTTTTTGATGAGATTCTGTCCGCTCGAAGGGAAGTCGCCCGGGGTTTGGGGACGACGTAAGGCTACCCTGTGCTGTTGTGCTTGCTGAGGGCCCGCCATTCGATGGCCCGGCGGGCGACGTCGGCGGTATAAGATTGAACGATGGAGCTGGGGAATGCCCCCGGCCCATGCCGGAATCTCTCTTTGAGCTCTTCCGCGGTATTTCGGGTATGTCCGACCCTGTGGATTGGCGCCTGTGTTTCTGTGAGGCTGATCTGCTTGCCTTGGAAGGGACCCGACTGGGCAGCTTGAAGCTGCCCGAACTCGCGATTCCTGGCAAGGTTGGTGGTGCATCAGACACTTTCTGTATTTCAATCTCTTCGATCTCCGATTCGACCGAGATAACCGAGACCCCATCATCGTTGAGCAGATTTTCCGAGTTATCTGCATTTTCGGTGTGTTTCCGTGGCGCTTTATTCTTCGGTTCATCGTCATCCGATTCAATGGGCCCGTTTCGCAAAACACCCATGGCCACAGGAATTCCTTCTGGTGGGGGCTCGGCGTCGTACTCTGCGTCGGCGGCTGCACGCATAGCCGGTGGCATACGCGAGCTTCGCACAACCTCGAATCCTTTGCCCTTCTCCTTTGTTTTGCCCCCAAACATGTTGCGGAACCATCCGGCAGCGGTAGCCATTGGTTTGGTCGGGTCGGCAGGGCCAGTTCTCAGCTTACGGCCGATGCCCTCCGAGTTGAGAGCGGGTCCTCGAACGCCATAGTAGAAGTCCACCTCTCTCGTGGAGTAGTCCGCTCTCGGGGTCAAGTTGATGGCTTGAGGGGCGGGCGTTGGGCCCCTTGACAGTTGTGCCTCCAAGTCTGCTGTAGCGTCGCCAAGATGTACTCCCCCCTGGCTGTAACGTCGAGAGTCGGCGACGGAGGCCCTGTGAGGAAGGGATGTGGATGATCCATTGAGAGTGTCGCCACGACGTCGCGGAGGTCGATAGTAAGGATCGGCAGATTCGACGGTGACGGCAGCGGGAGGTCGTGTGGCAGCAGCAGGCGACGGCAGGAAAGAGAATGTACTCACTTCACCTGGTGTTGTCGGCGTAAAGTTGCTGCCACTGTCGAAGTTGCGAACTTGGCCGGTATAGGGGTCGATGCTGTCTAGTGCGGAAGAACTCCGTTGCTGGCTTCGTAGTAGAAAACCACTTCCCGCCGACTCGCTTCTCAGTCTGCCACCCCGCATTACGTATCCAGTCTTTGAGTTTTCATCGGCATCGAGCATGCCCGTCGTTGACAGTTGGCTGGCTCTTGAAGGACCATTCTCCCTCCGAGACGTACGACGTTGCAGTTGTCGCATGCCAAATATCTTTGATAAACCGCCCCGCTGCAGACCCCGTGTATCGTCTCCTCCAGCACCCATTAACCGCGCAGTTACCTCTATTATTGTTTGTAGTGCGTTCAGGAAGAATCCAAGAACCAGTACACAGGCGTGAATAAGGAGGATGGTGTAGCCGATCCATCCTTTAGGACCTTCCGTAACACCCATTTGGGGTACGAACGCCACCATGAGCATCACGGTGGTGAACCGCAAGGCAGAAAAGAGCGTGTGGTAGGCGTTCATCGATGTCGGAGACTGGAAAGGTCTGAAAGCGTGAAGGGTCAAGAGGTGGACGACTTCACAAATGGCAAGTAGAACGATTTGTGCGATGCCAACAGGCTGCACGGCGCCGATTGCAATGCCGCGGATGAAAGTCAGCGTGACGGGAATAAGCGCAAATGCTGCTGCCTCATCCGAGTAGGTGTTGTAAAGGGGTCCATAAAGTAACACCGTCGGCAAGTCATCGAATAAGACGGCTCGGGGCCGGGTCCTGAAGATCAGATAAAGGAGCCATGCGGCAAAGCATACCAACATGAGAAGGGTGATGACAGCTAGAGCAACAGCAAACTCGCGCGACTGACTGGCAACCACTAGTTGAAAAGTCGACAGTGCCACAATGGGCAGCAGCAGGTAGTTGAAGACGACACGCACGACATTACCCACAGAGAACGGGATGTTCTTAGCACGGAGGTCCTCTTCAGGGGTATCGCTGATAAATCGGAGCACCCAGCGGAAGAAAAAGCCGATTTGGATGAGAACGAAAAGGGCCGCAACGATGACGCAGACCCAAACCATCGTTCCCGCCCAAATATCTTCGACATCGGTCATGCCCACCATTTGGGCATACTGGTGCAGTCCATAGGTGCCATTGGTCACGTAAATGCCGTCTTGAATCGATTGCCAGCCTGGGGACTTGCTCACGAAGCTCTCGTTGAACATCAGCGCGGACCAACCCACCTGACTGACAACTGGTTGGTAAAATCCGGGATAGTTGAGAGTCAGTCCTCCGGTGAGAGCCACAAATTGGATGTACTGAAGGCAGTCTCCGAAACCCGGGGTCACCAGGCGCAATAGATCAGCATCTCGTCCGTAATTTGTCGTCCAGTGGAATATATCTGTCGAGCCCCACGGGCTGAATACAGAGGCGAACATGGTCGCAAATCCTACGAAGAGCAGAACAACAAGCGGCAGGTAACGCAGAAGATCGCGTAGACTTCCAAGATCCGGAGTTACAGTGGCGGAGGCACACGCGATATGTTTGGCAGAGTCGTCACCGTATATGACCTGCAATGTCGCGGCTAGGGATGTAAAGGCGTATGACGAATCCATCTTTGCCGTGATGTTGACGGAGGGCAAGTTTCCGTACGGGTAAGTACTTAGAGATGTCAGTTGACTTGCGACAAAATTGCCCTGGCCGAAAGGATACTTACATAGCCGTGTCATTAAAGACGGGGGAGAGAGGGCAGGATCCATTGACCAGACTATAGTTGCAGAAACTAGAAACGTTGCTAAAGGGCTCATAGGTCAAGAAATTGACCTTGCTGGCAAGAGTTGTGACTTTGTTCCCTTCCCTCGTGTAGTCGAGAATTTTGCCATCCGTGTGGGTAGAATCGTTCCAGAGCGGATCGCCTTTAGCAGGCAAATCCACCTTGTAAAGAGAGCCAGACACATTGCCCCATACGATGATTTGAAGAAGGTGATCTGGGTTTTCGGTATCGAAGCGAGCGTCTACGTATACGGGACTCCATTGTAGCGGCAAGGGGTTGAAGTTTCGGTAGCTGTCGGGCAGGCAGTTGTCGAAAGGGATCAGAACTGCGGAGGTAGGCCTTATCAGCAGGCAGGCGAAAACGATGGTGAGCAGCGCGCCGAAGGAATCCACGATAGATCTACGTGTTCGGGATGGCAGTGGCGATAGTCGGCGACCATGGCTTCTATCCATCGTGAGCGAGTGTGATGAAGGATATTGGGATCCTTGGAGAGACGAGCGAGGATTCTGCCTCGACAGCGAATGTAAAGACTTGACGGGTTGGAATGACAGCGAAGGGACGCGCTTTCCACGTCCAGGGTGGACTATCACTGCATGTCTTGGAACGCTCTCAGGATGGGGTAGGTCTCGTGGAGGAGCAGATGGAGGCATTCGCATGTTTCGGACAGGCGTCCCGCTTGGCGTGTAGTCGAACGCTGCTACAGAAGCAAGCGGGACGGTTGAAGCGGCGTGGGGTGAACGAAAGACGCACTGAGGCAAAGAAGAGAAAGACGGAAGTGGTGTGCTAAAATCCCGGCATCTTGGGGGCACTGCAGCGGTCGCCTCGTGTCGTATTGTCGCCGTGATTTCGTTCCTCGATTCCTTGGGCGCGATATCGTGACCTCGAGCTTGCTGGTCTTTTGTCAAATTGTTTTCCTTCTAGTATGCGTACGATTTGGCTCGTAGCCGTTGATGTGTTTGTCGCGTAGTAGGTTGGCCTGTGCTATGGAAGAATGAAAAATTCGAAGAGGGGAGAGGGAGGAATGTTGGCTGAGTGGGTGTGTCTCTCTCTGTCTGACAGAGCGGCGTGTGTGTGGTGGTGGTGGTGGTGGTGTCGGCGGTGCAGGTGCAGGCAGGAAAGACGGGATGTTGTTGCGCGGGAGAGCAGCTCAATGGAAGGAAGAGTTGGAGAGAGCCGGGGGAGCAAGTACTTCGAAAGAGTACCTTAGGTACTACGTAGGTACGGGAACCAGGGATCCTTCTCTGGTTTCTCGTCCTTCCATTCTTTTGCGAAAAGTGACTTTGGTGAATGTACCTCGCAGACCCCCTGTCCATGCCCGTTCAAGCCCATGCCCCCGTCAAGGTGAGCCTGTGAAGTGCGGATCGGTCGACCAGCTCAGCACATGGAAGACAGCAAAAATTGGCCCAGCTCTTGGTTCAATTTTGGGGAACTTTGCGTCTGAGGTGGGATGCAGGCAAAAGAGCTGACCTGAGGTGCGACACGGAAACGATTCTACTGCAAGATGGATGTGGCTGAGCATCCTCACTTCATTTTCTCGGGTCTTGCGTCCGCACATTTACTCGCCCTTGGTGCCCCTTGTCGCTCTGCCGCCCTCCCGTGCCACGGACAGCTCACACATTGTATGTAAGACGATGGATGGAATGATTTCAGTGGAGGTTCACTTCGCCTTCGGTCCTCGGTGCTGTCGGCCATTGAGGACTCATCAGTGCGCCGGCCAAGTGCTGGGAGCAGCCTAGTTGCCCAGCACCGTCCGGGGCGAGGCCGCAGGAGGTGGACGCGAAGGGATAGGAAGGACTACACAGTAGCAGGTTCAAACTTGGAAGTACATTTCTCAATGTATTCGTATGATTGGAGAGGAAGATACTTGCTCCGATGTACCGTACCTTCCTTCGCAGCAACTTCCCGTCCTATGTACTGCGTAGGTAGGTAGGTAGGTTGCCAGGGGGCACTCTGCTGGCTGCCTGCTCACTGGGTTTCCGTTTCCTTCTCAGGTTCCTGTCCTTCCACTCCCCATCAATCCATCCATCCGCATTATTCTTCCCCCCAAAAAGCCACAAATCCAAGGTCCCCGGGCGCATACAAAGTTGCCGGTTGGCTGCCCGTTGGACACCCCCCCCAGCCAGGCCATGGATGTGCAGTTCTCCACTCAGTAAGGCGCAGCCGAGCCCCGTCCCTGCCCGCCTGGCCCATCTCAACCCATTTCAATTCAGGTCAGGTCAGCCAAAAGTGGGAGCGACCTGAGAAAATTGGTTACCTTATTACGGATACACACACTCTCTCGGTCTCTGGGCCTTCGATATTCTGTACTTTTGTCTGCCCACCACTGCCACTATTTTCTACCTTACGGAGTACATGTCACAATGAGCCCACCCGACCATTTGCTCAATTCGACTCGTCGCCCAGTCGACTCGCTAACAAGGCCCAGACATGGCTTGTCCGCTCTTTACCTTAGTCTTTGCTTCGCCGCTATGAGTACCCTGAACCCCTTCTTTTCTCTTCGGGCTACGAACACCTAAAGTGGCCTCACGCAGGAACACTGTCCAACTACATGCCCTGCGAATACACCATCTACCCGTATCGCTCTCCAGCGCAAACCTCGCTCGAACCTAGGCTCGTCCAAAGCAGACAGACGACGGGGGCCGGTACATAAGGTAAGACAAGGGCGAGGGGAAGAAGGTTTCCCAATGGCAGTGCTTGTCTAGCGCCCGGCCTGAAACCCAAGACTGCCACCCTATGACGTGCCGATGGAATTCCGCAAAGCCAGGTCACCTCGATCCATTTCAACGCCAACAGCTGGCGTGAGACCTTGTCTCTGATTTGGATGTGTCTAATGTCATCCGTCGCGCACTCAATGGAGCCGTCTCAAATGGAAATAACACGCCAAACTCGATGCAATTTAAGTAGGCATCACTGTCATCATGGCATGGCAAGTAAGGCACCGTCTTCCTCTAATCACCAAATCCACTACTGCTAACTATCAAATGGCCCAGCAGCATCATAACGCACCGTGAGCTCATGCAGAGCAGAGCATAGCAATACAAGGACAATGACACGCTCAGCCCCAAGCACGCTTCAGGCCTGAGATGGCAGTTCAATCGCATCTGTGACTTGCATACGGGCATCTCTAGTCGTCCCCATGCTTACAGCGCGCAGTCTACACCAATTCGCCCGTCTTTCTGTGTCTGGACGGACTCTGTTGTAACTTCACTACATCGAGAATGGAAAAATCTTCTATACGTATCCGTATAATGCTACAGTACCTTACGGCAACAAGCACACGGCACGCCTGGCCGACAAATTTCTGCCCTTATCCTCGTCTCCCCTTCCCTTCCGGTTACCGACACACTGTTCGCCTTCGGGAAACAATTTGGACGGAGATGAAGAGAGTCGCGCATGGGCCAAGTTGCCAGGATCATCAACTAAACATGATTGTGGCAGGACAGAACTACGACTTCAGACGAAACCTAGACCACCGATCGATACAGTACCTGTCGAGTCCTCTTCGTCTGTGCAATTTGTTGGCAAGAATTCAGCGAGACTCTTCATGCTACCTAGTAAATGAGCATCAATACTATCATCAATGTCACTATTCGCGGTGGAGGGAGATGCCAAACTGAGAAAGGCACCGGATCGAGATCCCAATGTATCTGGCAAATCCAGTTTCCAAGGCACTGAGCAAATAGCCCACATACGTCGCAGAGGATCGTCCATCCCGCGGCACCGTGTGCAACGCTCCAATCCCAGCAGAGGACTTCTCCAGCGCACAGAGCCAGGAATACCTGTCGATGTTGTTGCTGGCTGAGCCACAGAAACCCGAGCTACGACGGAACACTAGTAGCTTGAACAGCAAGAAAAACTTGCCAGCAGGGACCAGCCTTTAATCATGATTGACGGGTTCTCCATGCATAGCATCTGGCTGCTATACCTCCAACTGCACAACTCAACACTTCATTCGCACAACACATCCTTGGCCATAGCCATCCCATCGTATCTACAGATGTACTGGTGCATGCTCTCAAATCATCATCGCCCGTCTCTGCGAAAAGAAAATCGACTCGGATCGCATTACAATATGAGATTTCAGACTTAATGCGCTGCTAATTCAGTCAATACCTAGACGCTAGACTGATCACCTCGAAACTGGGAACAAGCCAACACCTCGATTATCTTGGTACATAGAACCTAACCCACTAACCTTGCCAACCTTGCCGTTCTTGCGTAAGTATCTCAAGCAAACGTACGTCAAACTTTGGTAGTGAAACATTGACTCTCTTCGTCAGAACCCGTCATCCGTCAACTGCGATAACTCGCTGGTCATCTAACCCAATCATACCGTCTTTCCCTCCACCACCCGCGGCGACAACAAATAGGAATCAGATTCCTTCGCGTCCCTAATACGAACTTCTGCACAAGCCAGTCTCCATATGTCTCGCTTACTTTTGTTGTAGCTATTTTCGGCAACGTTTGGTTTTATGCTCCAGACAGCGACTTGGAGGCTCTTTTCCCGGCATGGTATGCATAATTTCGCACCGCTGATTTGAGTGTCATCACGCTGTCTGAACGACGTTCTTCAGCCCCACTTGACCCCGTTGTTGCCGCCATCCCGGACGACGAAGCTGGTTCCAAGCATGCCGCCTGACTTCACGATCTGTTGCGAAGGAGGGGTTAACTATCATCTCCATAATCGACAGCAAAAGTCTCGCGAGCTTTCTTCTCGTTTGATTGCCGTCTACATGATGAAGTGCTAAGATGTTTACAGGGAACCGCAGAAACCCCGTGTTGCCTGTACAGGATCTCAGCCGTTGATATGAGAGCGACCAGCAGTGTGCGGAATTCACAGATGATGATACACAGAGGAATATGACTTCAACTCACTCTCTTGGTTCCCATGCGGTCATGCCTCACGCCCCGTACTCACCTTGACCCCCCATTGTATAGCTTCTTCCAATAAATGGCCGGTCTTGCCTTCTGTCCTATAGGCGTATTCCCGCTTCGCAACCACCTACACTATTTCTAGGCCAGCCCAACCCTAACCTCGCGGGAACCAAATGTGAGACAGAAAGACGCCAGCAAGCCGGAGCCTGTGGGACGCCATCACCGGGTTCGCCTCACATGCGCCGTTACGGGCCAGCCACAGGGCCAACCCGAGTCAAATGGGTAGACACTTGTTCTGTGTCACCTTGAGCCCGAACGGCGTGGTCAAGAACGGACCCCGAAAAGTTGTTGCAGAAGAGGTTCAAACTACTGCGGCCTTTGTACGCCAGCTAGGATGGGAGGCACCGGCGCAGTAGGAATACGATGATGCCGGCTTCCTCAACCCAACCCCCCCACCCGTTGCTGAGATCCATCATGGAGTAGGTATGCTTCCAACCACTAAGGCTCTCCCCAAGTTTCCACACTCTCATATTGGTGGGGAACGGTTCGGCTGGAAGCCACTGGTGTATTCATTGTGGACTTCACCGCCATGGCAGCGGAATGACAAACCGACCAGCACAATGGAACTGATAATCTATGGGATACGGACGTGGCATCAAGGGTAATCGTCATGTCAGGCCAGCCGAGTCTCCCTCCTTCTAGCCGGTGCCACTGCATGCAACGCGGGAAACCAGTCCCAGGTCCACAAAGACTTGACAGGAAAACCATGTACGGAACATACACCAAGTTACGTGTATTCGTCCAAAGGGCCGGGGTTTTGTGGACTCCCGTACCATCGTTGCCTTCTCGGATCAGCGGCGCCACCTCCCCATCCACCCCTCCTCTTTTTTCCAATACAGCCTTCCATTTTCCCCGCTGCTTTCGCAATAGAGTGACGTACCCTTGAAACGGCATAATTGGAGTTGGCCAACTTCACTGCTTTTCTATCCGCCTTTAGAGTGAAAGCAGTGCCATCCTGGTGAGATGAACTGCAATTCTTGTGTTCCTAACACTCATTTTGACCTATTGGTATATGATGCTATGTAGCCAGGCAGCGTATCAAGCATATGTATACATACAGTTTCTTGCAAAGCATCTCTTCCGTTGTTCACGAGTAAGCATGTCACTTCTATAACTTGACGAAAGCCCATGTCCTGGCACGATAACAAATATCTGTCTACTCTCGCAGCCCCATAACGTGCCCAGGTCAGACTTTCTTGACAGTCTTTTAGGGCAGCCTTCCTCTGTACATACCCAACCACTGAATGTATTTGACGTTTCCAGCATACAGATGTATCGCATAAACTTGCTTGGCGGTGTTGGAAGTCCATCGACGTCATGATTCCTGTCAACAGGCCCTACGTTCTTATTCGAGATAGTCGGTGTTATCTCTCTAAACGGACCTTGTCACCAGATTAGCTAGATAGAAAAGGCCATGGGGTGGAAGAAACTAACGATTCAGAGACCGACACCCGCATGTGGGCTTCTCACGGGCAAGAAATACTGTGCAAGCCTTTGACAGTAAGATGTAGCCAAGCGAACGTAGGGTACGTGAGGCAGATATGCGCCCATTAAGTAATTTCGTGATTGTCGTTGTCTATATAAAGCAAGTAAAAGCCCTATGTGCACATAGTGATTACTTCTCCCATAGCAAAGCCGCCTTGTAACGCAATCGATACCCGGCCCATGAACGACATGACCTTTACCGTCGAGCAAGATCCATCATCCCACTATGCTCCTAAGTCTCCTCCTTAACACAATGCACCAATATCAATCTCAAGCTCCACCTCAACTCCATGCTTCTCGTACACCCATGCGCCCACAATTTCTTGAAGCTTGTTGCTGGTATTCTCCATTTCGTTCTCACCCATGTGAAACGCCACTTCCTGGATACCTCTGGAGATATAAAGATCATAATCAGATGCATTGCTGACCTGCTTCCGCAAATCTTGTAGATCAATTGTAAGTGACCGTGTTTGAGTATGAGGATCAGAGAAAAGCTTCTCAAATGGAAGCATCTCCGATCTCATCCTCTTGTGTATCTTGATTCTCGACCTGGACCTAGATGCTAGCCTCTTCTTCAGGTATCTTCGGGGAGACATGTCTGGCAGGGTAGTTGTTGGTCTCCGAGAGAATGATCTCCCTCGTTCTTCCTCTGCATTCTCTACATACTCATCTTCAGTTCTGTGGCGTAGAGCGTTCAATCTCTCCAACATCTGCCGCTCATTTGGCTGTGGGCTGACTTGCTGATAGCGATGCTTTGACTTCCTCGTCTCTTCGAAACCATTACTGTAGTTATCTCTTCTGGACTCAACTGAAGGAAAGCAATAATCCGACATATCCTCCAGCTTCGGGTGCTGTCTCTCTCTTCGTGTGTCAGCGGTAAGCTTGCTTTGTCTCAGTCCGTCCGCCCTATGGGGCTCAAATCCCCGAGCGGCCTGGGTAGGCTTCAGCGCTTGTCGTCCATGACGGGTTTTACCTTGTTCAATGCGAGCAGGTACACGGAATGGCTTTCGCAATGGACTGGAAGACGGAGGAGGCGTGCCAAGCACACTACTCTCGTCAAGATTCGCAAAGGGATACGGCGTCTTGGCACCGATGCGTTGGCGAACACCTGGGCCCCTCTGCGGCATTATTTCCAGGTCTTCAATCTCGTGTCCAGCAATAGATGAATGGAATGTCTCTTCATCTCTTGAAATTCTTCGCTGTTCTTGGTGTCTTGGAACCTGATAACTAGTTGGTGGGGCGGCAGGGTGTTGTAGTATCGGTGGCTCAAAGGTATCTGGGTCGTAAATATCCTCCCTTGCTGCTGCAGGTACCCAATAGGGTTGAGATTTCTGCTGATGGGAAAATATTCGATCTCCGATGTCCTGGCTGATTACTTCATCAGCTTCCTGCATAATCTCTGCTGTCACGGGGACATAGGCTTGCTGGAGAGAAGTTGTGTCGCCCAGGTTGTTGTCACTATGCTCGCCTGTGAGTCGAAGGCCAGGTATGTCTTCGCGGCGAGCAGAATGTTGTGCTGCCGCTTTTCTGGCCAAAGACCATGGATTCGGTTCCTCTCTTTGTATCTGCTCTTCCATTTGTGACTGGATGAACTGGTGTATACCCGCACTGGGAGGCCCCAGGAGAACCGGTTGCGTTTGACCCTCTGGACTGGCAGTCTCATCTCTAGCCATGTTCACTTCCCAATCGGTCCGAAGGAGGGCTTGGGTGAGCCCTGGCTCCTGCGTGTCTTCCTCAGTCTGTTGGCTGATTCTCTCTTGCCCTAAGTTTGAGAAAGAGGAGCTGTCTACGACAGTGCCGTAGTCAACATCTTTTGAGTTGTGATTCACAGAAGCGGGATGACTCGAATCTTCCACCGCCCTAGATACACTTTCACGGCCGCGTAAATGCTCTCTGTCGAGGGATCCTGGCAGCTGCTGTCCACTTCCAGGGGAAACCAGGCCAGTCGGCAATCTTTCCTGACGCTTTCCGGTGACTGAGATCAGTTTCTGCAGGAGGCCATTCTCCTCTTCGTCGTCGTCTAGAAGAAAATCTGGGCTTTGATGTCTATTTTGCTCGTTCGCACCTTGGAAGCTTTCCGTGACCACTTCAGCTGTTAAGCCGGGCTCGTTTGGCCGGTAAATATTCCTGCACATGTCTTCGAACAGGGCCAGTAATTTTGGTTCATTTGCGAAGATGACCTCGTCTTTGGCCGTGGTTACATTGGGATCGTAGCTTCCGAGAATGCATTCGACATTCAAGCGTATGAAAGGCTTGGAAATAGACTTTGAAGGACTGTCAAGAACGACACAGCGGAGTAGGTGTTGTTTGTAAATATCGACAAGCTTCTTCATCGTGCCCCTCGTGGTGGCCATAGGTCTCGAGTCAACGGAGATGAAGTAGCCTTTGCCAGATACCTTCAAGGGATCAGCATCGGCTCTCGGGAGAAAAGCCTCGAGTCTCATGATAGATGCTGGTGTGTCTGGTCTTCCTGGTTTCGTTGCTGAGATCGCAAGAGTGGTTCCACTGAATGTCTTCTAGACGCATTGCGAAACCAATTCGGACCCAAATACTTGGAGAACTGCTTCTCGGATATCACCCTCTTTACTTGGAGCATAAAACCACGAGAGCTTGTCAATTTTGATGACTTTCAAGGAGAGCCTAATGTGAGGCCGAGTGAGTGCGTACACCTGGATAAGGTCTTTGATCTGCATGTATATTTTCTTGCTCTCCTTCAGAATTTGTTGCCTGCGAACCGGAATGTTGGCAAACAAGTCTGAGACGTCGACGGTCGTCCCGACGGAGCCCGAAACATGCTTCTTATCCGTAAAGCCGCCGCCTTTGGGGTTGAGTACCAGCAAGACCGCCACTGGATCTCGGATCGTTCTCGTCGTGATAGTAAGCTTCGAGACGGCATTTGCGCTTGCCAAGGCATCGCCGCGGAACCCAAGTGTTTGGCCTCCCTTGCATTGAAGCTCTTCGAAAGTCCGAAGCTTACTGGTATGAGACCGGCGTCCAAGAGCATTGTAGTCTTCTGAGCTGATGCCGTGGCCATTGTCTCTGACCTGGATCTTGTCTACTGCGTTTGCGGAGATCCTGATCTCGACATTGTTTGCATTGGCGTCGATAGCATTGTCTACGAGTTCCTTGACAAGTGACACAGGAGAAGGTATGACGACAGAGGAGCCAAGCTGACGAACAGCAGCCTGAGGTAGCTGAGATATTGACATGCTGCACGAATACAGGACTCAAAGGGATTGGCGCAAATGTGTAAGACGAGAGCAGATGCCCTGAAAGGGAGAAGATATCACTAGATAACGAGGAACAACATGTACACGACGACGTGAGAACGATGGCAAGGAAGATTGTGAAGACGGGATGATGGAATTAAGAAGGGAAGAGGAATCTATCGAGCTCAGACTTGAGACAAGGGCAAGAAGAGACTGGACGTACTCGATAGCAAATGTAGGAAGGAGGTGTGTAAGTCGTCCCTTCCCGTCCAAGCAGGCGACGGCCGGCTTGCCAGCTGGTCCCAGTCGACAGCCTTAATGAGAGCAATCCGTACACACCAGCCAGGAAAGCTAAAGTGCTGTTTCCTGCAGCCAATTCCCAGGGGGCCGAGCCCCGCCGCAGCTTCCCTCACAGGGTGCAAGGCACGCAAGCACCTCAAACCGCTCTGCCCCGCATCGCAAGGTCCTCGTTCCTGAGAGTCCGCCCGCCCGCCCGCCTTGCTACCGCCATCCTGTAATACAAACACAAGTCATGCTAAGCGATTCCTAAGCCAAAACCCGCACCTTACGTAGCTCTTCCCAGCTCCCCAAGAAGAAGCGTTGCTGTCCATCCCACCACTTGCCATCTTCAAACCACCCCGCCAAAAAACTACAGAGCTGCCCGCCCACCTGTCGCGACTACGAACACAAACGTCTTGATACCCCTCCTCTTCCCAAACCACCACCACCCACTCAATTCAAAATGTCCGACATCAAGGGACCTACCCCGCAACAGCACGACGGCAGCGCCCTGCGCATCGGTATCGTCCACGCTCGCTGGAACTCGTCCATCATCGAGCCCCTCGTTAAGGGCGCCAAGGAGAAGCTCCTCGCCTGCGGCGTAAAGGAGTCCAGCATCGTCGTCCAGTCCGTCCCAGGAGCTTGGGAGCTCCCCATCTCCGTCCAGAGGTGAGTCAAGACTGGTCCACCCGGGGCTTTCGGAACTTCCGCTTTTCGCAATTCCTCCAACCCAGAAGAGCTACCTTTTTTTTTGGCTGACAACCCTCAAACCCACAGACTCTACCAAGCCTCCCAAGTCCAATCCGCACAATCCGGCACCGGCACATCGGCCGGCGACCTCCTCGGCGCCTCCACCACGGACCTGACCTCCCTCCCCACCGACACCGCCAGCGGCCAGCCCTTTGACGCCATCATCGCCGTCGGCGTCCTCATCAAGGGCGAGACGATGCACTTTGAGTATATTGCCGACGCCGTCTCCCAAGGCCTCATGCGCGTCGGCCTCGACACGGGCGTCCCCGTCATCTTTGGCGTCCTGACCGTCCTCAGCGACGAGCAGGCGCAGGCCCGCGCCGGACTCACGGCCGGCGGTCACAACCACGGCGAGGACTGGGGCCTGGCCGCCGTCGAGCTCGGCGTCAAGCGCAAGGCTTGGGCCGCGGGTAAGATGGAGTAAAAAGGTAAGAGGGGAAAGGAAGAGGAATCCTCCCCGTTTGACACAACTGCATCTTCGAGTTTAAATGGATCGGCAGGGGGAAACTCTTCATGTTTTAGACGTTTACTGGGAAAAAACAAGTAAAAGAACCTGAAAAAGGAGAAACAAAAGACAAACGAAACAAATCATACCAAGGGTCTGTCGTGGATAGAGACCGACCCATTGAAATTTACTTGCCATTTGGAATGCATCAACATCTACTAGTTCCTGTAGGCAACGATCGAACGAACAAACTTTTGGTGCTCCAGAGTAGGCTGTACACCTAGCACAGCGCAAGCATAGTCATGGCAAAGAAGAAGGGCTCATCTTCAAGTTTTTTTTTCTCCAACATTAGTTGATCATGGTACCAAGAGCTGTCTATCATGACTTTGCAAACAATAACCAAGTCCTTTCATCTTGCTCTTTCACTCCCGCAGCGACGCCCGGCAAACAGATTTCTCCCAGAATGTACACTTGATGAGGGTGCGCCGAATAAATACCCTACACCAAACCCTAGATCGAAAAGAGAACCCAAACACGCCTAAAATGAGTTGCGTGATGTGTCTGTGTTCCTTTTGGTGGTAATATGTCCAGTCTTTGTTTTTTGTTTTTTGTCGTATTGCGATTTCCCGCCTCTTCTCTCATCCCCCTTTTATCCATGCGGCATCGTCATTTTGTGTACCCTCACGAGATGAGTGCTCCGATTTCGCTGCCGATACTCTTCTTCGTCCTCCACAGTCCCCTCTTCTTCTCCTTCTTGGCCTTCATCGCGGCCCACCCTTCTTCATCGTCATCGTCCGAGTTGCTGTTGGATTTGTCAGGCAACTTGTTCTCCTGCTGCTGGACGACCTTGGGAGGCTGGTCCCATCCCATGGCTCCCGACATGACCGACATGCGTCGGCCAGAGTCCAACTGGGGCGCTTGCGTTACGGGTCTGTAACGGCCTGGTAAGCCCACGTTGCTGCGTTCCGAGGGTGCGATCGAGGGAGCATACCCGGCACCTTGGGCGTGAATACTGGGTGCGTACCCACCACCACCCATGCCTCCGTGAATGGATGGAGCAAATCCTCCTCCTGGGGGTTGAATCCATGAAGAAGAGCTGGGCTGAACCATGCTCATGGTTCTCGTTCGGGGGTCGAGTCGAGGGGGCTCCAGCATGGAATCCCCAAAGTAGGACTGGCGCTGGCTGTCGTGGACCGAGGGTGTCCCAACATGGCTCATCGGTCTTTGCATGCCATTCATTCCGTTCATTCCGTTCATGGCGTTCATGTTCTGACCGCCCGGAGTCGCCATCATCTGCATGAACTGCATCTGCATCTGCATGAACTGCTGCATCTGCTGGGTCATTTGAATCTGTGCCTGGTCTCCTGGTGTAAGCATCATCTGGGGCATCTGAGGCATCTGAGGCATTCCGGGCATCTGCTGCATCTGCTGCATTTGTTGCATCTGTTGCATTTGCTGCATCTGTTGCATCTGCGGCATGCCTCCCATACCACCCATTCCGCCGTTCATTCCGTTCATGTTGCTGTATACCATGGAGGCCGGAACTCCGTTGCCAGGGCCAACGGGTGCTCCCGTGAAGGGATCGACATTAGCCTCAACGTTGGGGCTACCTCTGCGCATAGCCCGGGCTCGTTCCTCGCCGGCAATAACACCGACAAGGCCACCCACGACGGCTGGCTGCTGGGCGCCGGGTGCAGGAGAGCCACCACCAAACGTAAGAGACTCGCGCGGAGGTCCGTTAATGAGACCAGCACCCAAGAACGGGTCTTGCGGGAGTTTCCTCGCAAAGGCGGGAAGGTGACCACCGTTTGTTCCCCTCGGCCCTGTTCCCTCGCCCATGCTCGACCCCGGTCTCGCAGGCTGGGGCTGATTCTGAGCGGATGCACGCAAATCAGGGTTCGAAGCCATGTTCAGGAGTCGAGCAGGCGGCTTGTTTTTGTTTGGGAATCCGTGTGCAGCCAGAATGGCAAGCGGCACTTCTTCGTCCTCCTCTCCTTCAGAGCCATCTGACCTGCCGGTCAATGGACCCGCGGGGACGGTCAGGTTTCCGAGGTTGGGGGTGCTGAGCGACACCGATAAGTTTGGCCGGGTGGCATGTCCGGAAGGGCCGGCCATCGGGTTCTCGCCCGTCACCTTCATCATCTGCTGTCGGTAGACGGCCATGTGAGCCTCCTGCTTCTTCCTCTGTTTGGCTGCTAGCTTCGCCTTTTCAATGTCATCCTCGTCGTCATCATACTGATCTTCATCGTCATCGCGGTTATCGTCGGAGGCCTTGACCGTTTCGCTGGTGTTGTCATCGCGTTCCTTGTCTCGACGGTACTTCTCGAACTCGGCGGGAGTCATAACTTTGTTTCGGGGCGGGCTGTGGTTGTTGTTGTTGTTGTTGGATGTGTAGCGTTGCGTGTTCGCGGGTGGCTTCGGCGGTTGTGCTCTGCTATTATCGAACATGTTCTCCTCCTCTTTCTTGCTGTCCGTTGCATCCCACGCTGTCGAGAATGCATCTTCATTTCTGCGGAATCTCCCGGGTGGAGACGGGTTGCTAGGCTGACTGGAACTGCCAAGAAATCGACTAGCTGCCACCGAATCCTTCAGCAAGTTCGCATCTTCGTCTTCAATGATGTCGGATGGCACATTGTTGCGGAAGGCCAGTGGTGAGCCGTGTCGGGGCACTGGCGGTGGTGCAGTGGCCGGGGGAGAGTTGGAACCGGAGTGCAGCAGATTATCATTAGAGTGTTGACTGCTCCATGAATAAGGCGAGGCCTCGACTTTGATGGACTTGTCGATCTTGATGGGCGACGGCTGGGGTTGGTTGACTCGGTTCGTTGTGAGGGAACGAGGTCCCATGTTGGACTTGTCGTTGCCGGGAAGCGTCATTTGGCTAGCTCTTTTGTCGAAACCGGACCCTTTGAACATATTACCAAAATTACTGCCAAAGTCGAGGGCAAAGTCCTCCTCGCTGAGCTTGGGGGGCGTGGCGGTTCTGTCGGTAGAATCTGTCAAACCTCTTGGTCTGCGGGTATTGTGGTCGTCCTCCAGCGACGCCTGGGGAGGCAAGGGCGGAGGAGGTAGAGGATGATCGTCGACGGGAACTTGATTCTTCTTTTGACCGCCAAAGGAAAAGGTTCTGCCGGCTTTGCTAAGGAACCCACCAGAGCTGTGCTTGGGAGCTGGGACTTCGGTCTGTGATTTTCTAATCGAGGGTTTCCATTCTTCCTGAGCCCCTTGGTGGCCGAGGTCAGCCGAAGACGGTGTGGTTGAGACGTTGCTGTGGCGCGAAGAAGTATCTGTCGAGGTTGTTTTGGTGGTATTAGATGACCCACTTCCCCTTAAGCTGAGTCAGTCGACGTTAGACACAATCCTTGCCATGGCCCTGAAATGAATTGCAGACAGGGGAGGGAATCGAGACAGCAAGAAAAAAAAGACCACTAGCAGGGCAACAATCCGCCGCTGAGTCCGAGACATGCCGCTGTGGAATGCATGCCAACCCTCTTTTTTCTGCTTGCTTTCTAGGTCTCGCTTTCTTGCT